TGGGGGGGTGTCACATGAGGAGCTGTCTTAAAGGGACGCAGCATTAGGAAGGTTGAGAACTACTGAACTACAGTATTTGATAATATAAAATAGGGAATATAAAGTATGATGAGTGATATAGTCCTGGGGCAGAATAAAGAATTAGGGATTTTGAGTTAGGTAGTCAAGCCTGAGGTCTAGTCCCAATTCTATTTCTGGTTGTATGAATGTTTGATAACTCACTTCTCTTGGAGCCTCAGTTTACTCTCTCCAACACTGAAATGATCCCTGACATTCAAGTTTCTTGTGAAAAATCAATTAGACTCAAGTTTGGTGCCTGTGGATTTTTAGGGACTTTATGTGTTGGCTTTATTTAACTAAATCGAATCATTTTGTCCCAAAATAGTCTATGAATATTTTCTATAGCAAGTGGAAAGAGTTTGGGGGGAATTTTAAATACTTCCTTAACACTCAGTGACTTTTTAAGGCATAATCCAGGTAAAGGGGAAGAGTAATTGGTATCCCTTACCCTGATATTTTCTGCAATAATGCCAGGGTCATTGCAGATGGATTCGATGAAAAATACCTACAAGAAAAACAAAACAGACACTTTGAGCAAGGACTTACGTTTGGTGGGAGTCAAACAAAGTTTCCCCCTTTCTCAAGGCTTTGAAATATCCTCAAGGGGATATATGACAACATAATATTTTCAGGTTTCTTAGTTTTATGAGGCAGATTAGCTCTAAATTGAATGGTATTAGATTGTTATGTGTTTTTCAATGGATTTCCGTTCCCATATTTATTTCTTGTAGTGATTCTCTCCTCTCCTTCCCCATTCCTAGACCATATGATGCCAGACGTCCGGCAATAATCTTTCATTGCTTATCATGTTGCTTTATATTTCTTGTTCTGAGATCTAGAAAGAAAACAACTAAATTGAAATATTTAAGTCTATGGTGCCTGATTTGGTTGCTGTAAAGTCTGAGGCCTGCTTGTGTTTGGGATTTGTGTTGTTATGTAAGTTCTAGAGTATAGAATCTAGACAACAGCATTGGAGTGTTACTGTACCTTGTAGCCATGCTCATTAGCAAACTGCAGAATCAGAGACCGCCGCTCTCTGGTAGTGTTTGTGGCATCAAAAACCTGGAAGCAGGTGGTGAGATTATCTTACTTTTTCCCCCAAAATCCATTTTATTGAAGGCTAATACCAATATCATATCATTCCAAAGTTCAGGAACATCAGGCAGTACTGTATAACTACTGTCACAATCAGTTTCAAAACATTCATTTTCTTCCTGTACTCCTTGACATCAGCTCCCTATTATACCACCACCACCCCACCACCCACTATCACTGTATCCCACCAAAACTCTTATTCTACTTGCTGTCATCAATCCTGGGTTTTATATACTGAAAAACAGTAAAAAACATACAGCAAAAATTCAAGAGGGTGACCTCCAATGACATAACACATCTAAGATAAACCCCAACATGAACAAACAAAAAATTACAGAAAATGTGGAAAACCAGGTTAGGCCTCACATGCATCAGAGGGGAGATCAACTGACAAAGTTTTAACCATTCAAGTCAGGTTTATTATTTTGATCTTCTGTAGTCATTTCTCCAAATGCACTCTGTTCATTAACCACGTTTCTCCCATATATGTATATGTTTATAATAGAGGGAGATCACTGGAGGCTTATTTCCCATGTAGGTCACACAAATGTACCTTGGGCTTCCACTGTCCTCCTTAGTCTTCTGCGCACTGAATTGTCACAATTTAGACTCTGATACTATTCCCTCCTTTGATTTAGGATTATATGACTTATAATCATTGAGTGACTAATATTGGTGTGCTTCTTCCATGTAAACTTAGTTGACATCTCACTTTGATGGCTGCTTGTTTGGAAACAAGCCTTTAAGACCCCAGACACCATCTAATTTCTTCACGACATTTTGCTATAGCATCATAGAGATTGACTTACTCTTGAGTCTATAACTGATAAAGGATCTACTTTTTGTTCATTGCTGTGTTAAGTGGAGGGCTTCCAGGTACAGGGTCCCAAAGAATAGAAAGGGCTTGAAATTGGTTTATGTCAGTTTAACAAGTATTCACTGGGTTTATATGTATGCCCAGAAATGCACTCAGACCTGTGGCTAGGGGATAAGTGTGAGTTATTAGGGTCATATTATAAGTGAAGTAACTAAAGATTAGATAATGACTAAATTTAGGTAACTCTCTAGCATGTATGTATGTATACATTCTATATCTATATCTGTATCTATATAGCTATAATCAGTCTGAAATTTGAATATGGTCCCACTGAACTTTTGGAATGGAAGAGTAGAGAATAAGGTTTAACACAAATGTTGAACCTGGAGCTACATAAACTGGGTTCCAGCTTTGAACCTTCTTCTTACACCCTGGGCCACCTTGAGGAATTGTTTAATCTCTTTTTGACTCATTTTCTGGGCTAAATAATGAAATATCATAAAATATCTAACTCAATGGTGAGGGATAAATTAAAAGATAAACTCATGCAAAGTGCTTAGAATAATGCATGACATATGCTAAATGATCAGTACATATTATTAATTGTTCTTCATCCCAGCAAAAAAAAAAAGAAGATAAAAATGCAAATTTATTTACCGAGACATGACCTTCCTTATGACTGAGATAATCATGAACATCCTTCAGAGCTGCCAGGGCACACTGTCTGAAAAAGACAGAGAAAGAAAAAGAGATCCACCCTGCCCCAACTCCTACCCCAGAATGTGTTCTCTTTTTCTACACTTTTTCTGAGCTATCTCACATATGTTCTACATATTTTATTCATCCATCAAACACCTACACAGGGTGACCTATGTTACAGGCACCATATCAAGCAGATAGGTCACAATTGAACAAATCTCTTTGTATACAGCAAAGCTGAAGAAATAACGTGCCATACCAATGAAAAATTTACTAATAATAGAAGTCACAGTATTAAGGGATCTAATTCTTGGGATAGTGGAGCTCAGACTAACAAAATTATGAACCATTGCCTGTAATTAGAAGGTAGAGGTTGCAGTAGAAACATGGGCATAACAATGGTAATGAATTTACAAATTCAGCAAAAACCTCTGTGATTATTCTTTGCTAAGATGAATGTACGAATCAATAAATGATACATAAATCATTGATTATAGCTGCACTTTAAGTACTCTGAGTCTTGTTATACAGGCATATCTTAAGGATGAATGAATGGAAACTGGAAGGATTGCAGTGGGTGCATCTTAAATGCTAGCCTAAGAAATTTCTATAGTCTCCTAAACAAAGCAGATGGTTAAAGGTTCTTGAACAGAGGATGGGCATAACCAGAAAGAAGTATTGGTGGAAGGGTTGTCTCAAACACCTTGAGGGTGTAGAAGGTCTCCTCTTTCACTGAAGTTGTTATACTTAACTATTCCAACATCAGAACGATAACTTCACTCAGCCAGGAAGAAGCTCCTAAAAGACTGAATACTTACTTTCTGATTAACTGAGCCTCCATGTTGCTTGGGAGGAAGAATTCATAGTTCTTGTAGTTCACTGCTTCTCTTCGATACTGGCCTAAATTAAACACTGAAAGCAGGGAGCTCTAGTGAAGAAGTTGGGAAGGTTCCAGTGGGCTAAAACATGTTGTTCATGAAACTTCAGGCATAAAAGTAGGTCCTATTTCTAGCTATATCATGTATTTATAAGAATTCAAATTATTCACACCAGATCATTTCTTCCTCACAATTTTACAAAGTTGTAAACTGCTCATTTTAAAAATGAAGAAATTTTAGTTCAGCTATATGAAGTCGCTTTCATGTTTAGCGAGTGAAGAGCTGAGACTTAAGCCCATGTCTGTTTCTCTCTCTGTGTGTGTGTGTGTGCATAAATTTGAGAGGGTTCCCATAAATTCATGGAAAAGTGAAATTAAAAGATAATGAAATTTTCAATTAATTTTAAGAGCTCCTTTGAGTATGTGGGGAGAGAGAGAGGGAGGGAGAGACGGATGGTTTTTAGCACAGATAACATATCCATGCATATAACTTGTGATGAAAATAGCTTTTCCAAGAACGCGAATGTCAAATACAGTAGAACCCCGGTACTCGACCACATCAGTACTCGACATAATCGGATTTCGACGTGAAATGTTGGGGAAATTTTGCATCGGAGCTTGAACAAAACATTGGAATCTGACTCAATACATGTGATTTTTGTAAACAAAACCATTTCCTGTTTGGTCATTCAACATTAGTTGGCGTTGTTAGTATGCATTGTTTAAGCCTTTTGCGGCTATGTTCCACGTGTTTTGCTATAATTTTCTTATTTTTTGTGGCTTTTTGTACTGTTTTTAGATTAAAAAAAACATGGGTCCTAAGAAAGAGTGTTTTTAAAAGAATCATTATGATAAGAAACTGGTTAACTGTGCTATCGATATTGTTGAGGATAATTTAGTAAACCCTTTTAGAAAACAGTTAAGGAAACGCCAACAGTAGACCACATTAGACGGATTTTTTTAAAGAGAAGGCCAGCCAAGTCCTACTGAAAAAAAGGCAACGAAGGGGGAAAAAAATCCTGAAAAACAGCTACCAGTTGATTTTATGGAAGGGGATTCCCCCTTCCAAACAATGACTCTGTCTCCATACCTCCTCTCCACATCAGTGTCCACAGATTCAGATGCTCATCAATCTCAAAGTATGGGCTAAACTGTAGTTGTTAAACATTTTTTAATGTCGTTTTTTATTTAAATTATATTATTTAACTTTCAAGTTATTTGCATTGAAATTTCTGTGTAATGTTTTGTATAAAACGGCAAGTTGAGGGTAAAAACTTGGTCGAGAATGGATTAATTCATTTTCAGTTATTTCTTATGGGAAAAATTGATTCGGAATTCAACTGCATCGCATCTCGATGCTCCTTCTAGAGGAGATTAGTGCCGAGGTCTGGGGTTTTGCTGTATTTATATGGACCTTGCTGGATGGAATACATAGGAATCTAATAGACTGTATTTGTGGAATGAGATAATAGAGAAGTTCAATATCATCAGTCATTACAAGGCCCGGAACAACAGCAGAACTTCATATGCAAGTTGAAACTGAAGAAAATTAAAACAAGGTGGGAGAGGAAGAGGAAGAGGAGTAGAAGGAGGGGGAAGGACGAGAGGGAGGGAGAAAAGGAAGAGATAGAAAGAGAGAAGATCAAAATGAATGTCAGAAGAGACTAGAACTTTATCTTTTGAATGAAAACTAAAGTGCATGGAAGAAATGGTGAAATGAAACAACTGAGCAACAGATTTCAAAAGACAGTATGATAAGATAAAGTGAAATATAGTGAAATTTTGGAACCTGGAGTTAGAAAAGAGAAGAATACATTCAGCATTTCTCAAGGTGAAAGAATAAAAAAAATACAGTCTAGACTTTCAATATTGAAGGATGTTGTTGATGATATGTGCTGCTGAGTCATTTCAAATTCATAGTCGCCTCATATATAATAAAATGAAACACTGCCCTATCTTGTGACATTATCAAAATTGTTGTGCTTGAGCCCATTGCTACAGCCATTATGACAATCCATCTTATCAAGGGTCTTCCTCTTTTTTACTGCTCTTTTACTTTTACTTGCTCTACAGAGACTGATATCTCCATATAATATGTCCAAAGTATTTTCAGTTAAGTTTTATCATCCTCAAACCTAAGAATTCTGGCTGTACTTCTTTTCTTCCAAGAAAGATTTATTTGTATTTCTGACAGTCCACCGTACTTTCAATATTCTTCACCAACACTGTAATTCAAATATATCCATTTTCTTACCTATCTCTCTCTTTTAAAAATCATTTTATTGGGAGCTCTTGCAGATCCACAATTCAAGTATACCAAGCATAATTGTTCAATTGCTGCCACCATCATTTTTGAAACATTTTCTTTCTTTTTGAACTCTTTCATATCAGTTCCCCTTTATCCCCCTCCTCCACTCCCCCCGCCCTGGAACCCTCTTTGTTTTATATATGTATATATTTTGCTATATCTTATCCCATCCACTGTATCCATTCACCTACAATTCCATTATTTGTTCCCCTTGAGTCGTCATTGCTCTTGGTTGCCCCTCCCTCTCCTTTTCCCATACCCTCAGGTAACCCTTACTCCCATTACTATTTCTCAAGGGTTTATCTATCTTGGGTTTCTTGCATTAAAACAACTTAATTATACAAATGAACATACATGGGTCTAACAAGATTAATGAGGTAAAACTAAGACCATAATAGTAGGGGGAGAAAATAATAAAGTACAAGAGAATAGTCAAGTGTTTCATCAGTGCTATTCTTCACCATGGATATATCATCCCTTCCGTGTGACCCTTCTGTGAGGAACTGTCCAATTATCTTACAGGTGGATTTTGATTCTCCACTTTGTCCATGCTCCTTCATGTCAATTTGATTGCTAATTTTTGAATTTCTGATACCTAATCCCGTTGACACCTCATGATCACACTGGCTGGTGTGCTTCTTCCATGTTAGCTTTGTTGATTCCCTGATAGATGGCTGCTTGTTTAACTTCAAGCCTTGAAGACCTCAGACACTACATCTTTTAATAGCCTGACACCATCTACTTTCTTCACCACATTTGCATATGCACCCATTTTGTCGTCAGTGATTGTGTAGGGAAGGTGAGTATCATACATTGCCACATTATTAGAACAAGCTGTTCTTGTACTGAGGTAATATTTAAGTAGAGGCCTAAAGTCCATCTGGTTCCTCCACACACACATACACACACACACACACACCTATCTTTATATCTTTCTATATTTACATATTTATACCTATATATATTATGTTTACTTAGTTGTACTTTCCTCTTTTTCTTTTTTCTTTCCTCCTGCCCCATTATTTACTGATCGTTCACATCTCAATAATTCCTCTCAAATACATTTCAATTAATCAAACACGACTAGGAATGCTACAACCTCCTCACCGTCAATTTTAGATGCCTTGCTATTCCCCTGTCCCTGTCATTATGGGCCCATCACTCCCTTCCCCCCGCCTCTCCTCTCACATGCCCCTCAACCATTGGTCCCATTTCTGTCTCCTTGGGATTTCTTATCCTGCCTATCTTGTTTATATAAGCACCAAAAGGGAAAAAAAGAAAAAAAAATATTCACGTAGTTTCAAGTCTAACTGTCGTCCTAACCCAAAGTAGATAAGTATCCCTCTGTTAAATAGTGAGCGGGCCATGTTACAATCCATGCGTCCAACCCCCTTTTCTTTAAGGGATCCATATCCCAGGACCCACTTACCTAATCACGCTTACAACATTTTAGTCCTCAGCATTTGTGTTGGGGGGAGCGCGCCTTCCACAAGACCCCATTGCTTCTCCTGCCATCAAGAATGGAAGGTTCTAGTGCCCCACCCCATTACAACTTTAGACTTTCAGTCTGGCTGCTTGTGAATATCCCTCAACCAGTTCAGATGAGGTGTCATCTGATGATTTAGAAGACTATATAATCAAGATTCTTCAGGGACTTTGTGATTTTGCTCCCATAACTGGTATGTTGCACTCCCCTCTTGGTTTATCCCCATGTGGGTGGGTCAGACTGGCTGCACTCCCCAAACTGTATCTTCAGTGCTGTCCTTTGTAGTGCTGTCATCTATGGTGGGGACATCATATTCAGGCAGAGACCAGTCCTGCAGTCCTCTCTGTAAACAAATTGCTACAACAGTAACTTCGGCCTCAAGGCTTGGTGCACCAGAATGGGGTTTACTGTTTCTCCCTTTCCCATTGAGACATAAGCAATACCCTCCCCTTGGGTGGATCAGTGCCCTGTTCCCCCATTGCTATCTTTTTTCTTCCCCCATCCCTCTATGGGACTTAAAGGCATATGTAAGGGGGTGGGTGGGTGAAGATGTCTTTCAGCACAGGTGCTACCTGCATCCTTTTAATTTTTATAGTTTGTTGACATATGCATCAATGTGTTTGGTCTGGTTCTTGCCAGAGTATCTTGTCCTCAGCCTGGGAACTGTGTGATACGTATATTTTCCTCTAGGCCCAATCTATTGTTTGAACTTACCTCAGTGGACTCATGTTGTACTTGTCTAACTTCGCTAAGCATAATATCCTCCAGCACTTTCCATGAGACATGAGACAAGTTGCTCAATTGTTTCACCGCTGTCTGTTAGGGATGCGTAGTACTCCATTGTGTGTATATACCAGAGGTTTTTTTAATCCATTCATCTTTTGATGGAAATTTAGGCTGTTTCCAAATTTTTTGCAATTATACACTGCACAGTGATGAGCATTTGAGCGCAGATGTCTGGTCGTGGCCTGTTTCTTATTTCTTCTGGGTATATGTCCCGTAGAGGGATGGCTGGGTCATAAGTTAACTCAATTCATCTGTTTTTAGGTATCGCCAAATCACTTTCCACACTGGCTGTATGTATCTTCAAGACCACCAGGACAGAATGAGGGTTCCTATCTCACCACACACCTTCCAACATTTGTTGCTTTCTATTTTTTTTATTATTATTATTTGGGCTATCCTTGTGGGTGTTAGGTGGTATCTCATGGTTGTTTTGATTTGCATTTCCCAGATGGCTA